ATTAATTTTTCTATAAAAATAAATTTAAGTTATACAGACTGAAGAGTAAAGAGATATTCAAATAAACAAATTTATAAAATATAAATAATATCATATTACAATATTTTTTATATGAAAAAGTTGATTTTTCTATAATAAAGAGAGAAATATATAATATAATATAACTTCTCTAATAATAAATAGAAGATTAAGTATTTTACAATATATTTTAAATACTCAGCTCAACTCTTCAGTTTATACAGCTCAGATTAATTTTCAAATTTTTATTCTTTTTTTCATTCTACTCTTTTCATACATTTTTTATAATATTTACATTTCTTATACTCTTCTCTGTGTTAATTTTAATCTCTGTATTTATAATATATACTACTAAATACTCTGTAATAAAATCTTATATAATGTTATATGTATCTCTTTGAATTTATAAATAAGATTGAATAGCTAACTCTGCAGTCTGTACAGCTCTGATTAATCTGATAATAATAATAGAGATAATACAAAGTAAAAGAGAGTAGTAGATAAACTAATCACTGAAATCATGAATTTCATATTTAATCTCATTTAATCTGATCTCATACATTTCTTGACATGAATTTCACTGAGACTGACTATTAAAAAAACATGTAAAATGACTATATATCAGATCTTAAAATGAAATCATGACTTGAAAAAAATAAGAAAGTAATCTTATTTAATCTCATTTAGTTTCATTCTTAGTATAAAGTTACTATTTTTAGACATTTTAAGGTTTTTTTTAGACTATTTTTAATTTTTTAAAAAGTAATACTTTTTAATAACACTTAAATAAGATTTAAAGTCATTTAAAGTAATAAAAATAATTTAAATTAAGAAGTGAAAATCATAATCTTATTTAAAAAATATAATAAGAGTAAATAGTAAGTCTTACTGAGATAGTATGAGACTACTATCTAATGTTAAAATCATGTAATAAGATTAATTAAATTGATAATAAGACTATTAAAAAATCTAGTTCTGATCTCAGATATAGTTATATAATCAGTCTAGTAGTAGAGTATAGACTGACTATATAATTATATCTGAGATTAGAACTAGATTTTTTAATAGTCTTATTATTAATTTAACTAATCTTATTACACAGTTTTAACATTAGATAGTAGTCTTATACTATCTCAGTAAGACTTACTGTTTACTCTTATTACATTTTTTAAATGAGATTATGATTTTCACTTCTCAATTTAAATTATTTTTATTACTTTAAATGACTTTAAATCTTATTTAAGTATTATTAAAAAGTGTTACTTTTTAAAAAATTAAAAATAGTCTAAAAAAAACCTTAAAATGTCTAAAAATAGTAACTTTATACCAAGAATGAGACTAAATGAGATCAAATGAAATCACTTTCTCATTTTTTTCAAGTCATGGTTTCATTTTAAGATCTGATATATAGTCACTTTACATATTTTTTTGATAGCCAGTCCCAGCGGGATTCACGCCAAGAAATGTATGGGACCAGACCAAATGGAACCAAACGTGAAATTCATGGTCCCGGCGGTCAGTCTAGTAGAGTAGAGGTAGTGATGGTGGTAGAGAGAGTAGAGAGTGAAAGGAGTGAAAGAGGTGGTAAGAGAGCGTAGAGATAGAAGGTGAAAGTGGTAGAAGAAGCTGCGGAGCGGTAGAGGCGGTGGTGGTGGTAGAGGGGGTAGGGGGTGGAAGAGGTGGTAGGGGTGGTAAGAGGAGGGTAGAGATAGGAGGTAGAAGTGGTAGAGAGAGTTGCGGGGCGGTAGAGGCGGTGGTGGTGGTAGAGGGGGTAGAGGGTGGAAGTGGTAGAGGGGGCTGCGCAAGCAGCAAAGCGAGGGTAAGCGAGCATATGATGCTCGTATACTCTGTATAATAACTAGTTATAATATTTATTTCTTTTCATTGAATCTAAAGAAATGAGATTTTTTTTGCTTGTTTATTCTTTGAGAGAAGAAAGAAGAGAGAGATAGAAAACCTCTCTTTCCTTTGATGTGACAGAACTCTTAACTCAATTGATTCCATCCATGAATAATAAGAGAAAGTGGGGAAAAAAAAATATTCACCAAGCTCATTCATTCAACACACAATAATAGCAGAACTCCATCAACCACACCTGGTGTGTGATTTCTCCGACATGGGTTTGAATAAAATGTCGGGAAAAAAGAAGAAGGAAAAGACAGAGAAGAACAAGAGGACAGAAAGTAGAAGCTATTGGTAAAAAGAACTCGACGCCTCTGCTTGAGAGACAAAAACAATAACAAAAATGAATAACAAAAGTCGCAAAACCTGAAAAAAAAAAATGAAAAAAAGTCCCGCAAGTTAACGGTCTGAACAGTAAATTGGAAGAATCATACATGATACAGGTGAAAACTCAAGGTTTGATAAAGAGGGGGAGAGAATATATCGCACTCCTAATTCAGCAGGGGATCGGAAAGCATAGTAAAAAAAAGTGATTGAATAAAAAAAAAAGTGACATTAGTTCTTAGTCTCAAAGGATTTGAACGTATTTATGTGCAATTCGATGCAGAAAGTTTCAAATCCGTCATCCTAAGATCGACTCGACCAGTGTGAGTGATTCGATATTGTCACCGGGCAACCAGGTAGCCAGCGCACTACTAATCAACCCAAAATCGCATACGCGAAAAATTAATGGAATCGATTTGAAAGCTATGTGGACCATGGCACGCCATCACTGGCTCAGATATCGCAGTCGCGCATCTCTTGTGGGAGATAAAAGACGGAAAATAAAGAGAGATTTAGAATTCCAGGATGGCAGCAAAGAAGCCTGGCGTGTTTTTTTTTTTTTTTTTTTTTTTTTTTTTTTTTTTTTTTTTCCCCCTTTCTTGCGGCGGTTTACGGTTATTTTGTCTTTCTTTGGTCAGGTCAGGATATGATGATGATACATGCTCACAAGAGCTGAACTTGCCACTGGCCAAAGGAAATTCCTGGCTTTGATTTCGGATTGGCGATACCTGCTCTTCCTTTCTATTTCCGCACCGGGCAGAGGAACATGTGGGAAGATGGATATATGCAGAAGCAAGCCGAAACTTGCTAGTGTCTAAAACTGACGGGGTATCTTGGATCGAAGGGGTGATTCTAACGAGGTGTAATATATAAAGCTCGTTTCGTAATCGGCCGATGACGATAAGAAAACGTCGCTCAAGAAATGAATGACTAGTAATGCGTTTGCAGTCGACTTTCGCGGGGTTTTTTTTTTTTTTTTTTTTTTTTTTTTTTTTTTTTTTTGGGGGGGTTTCTAGAGTATAGACTCCAGGAGATTAAGAAGATTAAAGATGTATTATAGGCGATAATAAAAGGCTATGCTAACGCTGCTGCTCGAAGGTCGTAATGCGTAATAATATCATGAATGTGTCGAAGGTAAGTTCGTGGCTTTATTGAGTCGCTGAGCCCTCAACCTGGTCGTCGAGACCAAGGGAACGGCGAGTCGTTTGTTTTGTGAGTGGGTTGAGCGAAGAAGGGAAAAGAGTGGGAAGTGTATTTCAACCCCCATCCGGTTTTAACTGATCACTTCTGTGCTTTCTTTCCTTTCCCGACGCCACTGGTTGATGTAACCTCCGTCTTAGCAGACATCGTTCGTGTTAGGCCACCGATATAGTCCTGTAAGAATCTATTCTCGTTTTCTAGTTTGTCATGGTCTGACTTGACCTCATCAATGCGCTCTGCGAGGGCCTGCAGTGATGACTGCAGGGTATTTGCTTGCCTACGCCAAAGCCATCGGATTAGAATTAGAAAATCGAAGGACGTGGGGCATGTTGGCCTAGTGAATGGTAGGCAAAGAAAAGCGAAACGGCGAAAAAAACTCGGACGAAAAAGGCATAGAGGGTAGAAGAGAGAAAGGAGCCCAGCTTTGCTGGATTGTACTCTTCGCGAAACTCACTTTTGCAAGGCCTCTCTAGCTTCCCTGCTGAGCTTCTCAACATCTGCAGAGTTCCTTCTTGGGCTCATGGCACGAGCGTCGTCCGGGGGGAACTCCTCCTCCTCGATCTCAATTTCAGGGTGGTCACGGGGAACAAGGATGGAGGCACTGGGTTTCCGACTCGCCAGGCGGGGGCGGTCGGCCCGCGATTTTCGATCATGTTCAGTATCCCATATTGAGGATGACGATGACGAAAGAGACGAGACATGCACGCTGTTGATATTCTCGTTAGGAGATGGCATTGCCGGCACTGGATCTGATCTATTGTGCACACCAGTTCCAACAGCCATTCTGTGGTATTGTGGACCCCAAATCCGCAGATCGAAATTATCAAGGGAGGGGAAAAAAATGCAAATGGAAATGAAAAATTAGGATGTCCCAGCTCTCAAATACCACGAGGTGGCAATAGATCGCGAGGCTGGAGACGAGAAAATGAAGTTGTTGAAAAAGAGGGTAAACGCCCAAGCTAGTGCAAGAGTGGCAGCAGCGAGGGGCGGGAAATCAATCAACGATACGGCTAAATCGGGAAGTCACTTTTTATAAGAGTAGACAATGATCCGCAAAGAGAAAAGCGAAGGGTTCGGAAGAAAAAAAATGGCGAGTTGAGGTGGTGAGGAGGTGAGGAGGCGGCGGCGGTATAGAGCCCTTTCGGGGGAGGTGATGATGTATTGAAGAGGGAGAGTGTGGAAGAGAAGAGTAAAATATAAACAAGGGAGAAGAAATGAATTTCGCAAGACCGATATATGGCGAAGAAACCAGCCGACCACCTCGTAAGGCGCTGAAAGAGAAACGGCGGCAGGGGAGAGAAACAATAAGTCAGGAGGAGAGGTGTGGAGCGTTCGCTGGTTTTGACAAGAGACGCCCGACGAGGATGGAGACGACGCCGACAGCTGTGCTCCGTAGTGAGGCAAAAAGACGCCAACAGCCCTGATTAATGGAGACAGAAAAACAACGGTGAAGACTTTCTTTCATCGACAACCGCTGGCTGTGGTGTACTGGGAGGAGAGAGCCCTCGTTTCTCGCCGTCTGCCAGGCAGTCTTCGGCTCTTGGTTTGTGTATATTTCAGTGTCTGCAGCGCTGGGGTGGGCGAGCGAGCGAGGGTGAGGGAAGATTTTGACTCTTCTCCGGGCAGTGGAGCAGTCGTAGTGGATGGGAATGGAAGAGAATGGCAGGGTTGGTCGAAGGATGGTTAGCATGGGTGGAAGGTTTACGCTGGTCGGTCGTAGTGGGAGTGGTAGCGCTGGTGCTGGTGGTTGCTGGTGGGTGCTGGAAGTGGATGTCAGTCAGCCGATGAGGGCGCCGTGTATTATTATTTGCTGACTCTGCGTAGTACACCTTGGCCCGCTTACAATACCAGTACATTTTTAATAGACAGTGTACTGCCCGTACTGTAACGAGTAAGAAACGGCCGATCGCTAGGATGGATGCAGCATGATTGCTGATGGAGATGGATTCCACGGTTCCAAGGATAATCATTTTATCCACCCCAGGGGTGTGTAACTCTGTCCACTCCAAGGGCTGTGTTGTGGTTGGCACTTTTATCAGATACTTCATCCTCTTTGGCTGCTGTTGCTCTTGCTAGCGCACGCCCTAGCCAAATACTGTCATTATTACATTACATTACCCCGTACAAAAATAAAAAAATGACAGTTTTACTTCAATTTTTCCTTTGAGCATGAATCAGCCTATTCTACTGTAACTCTATGTCTCTAATAACTCTCTATTGTGTAGTTACTCCATAGCATGTAAGTAAACAACTCTCAGTAATTTGATTTCACTTGTGAGAAAAAACAACAGCTTTAGAGCTCTCTAAAAACAACACTGCTGTGAATATGATTAGGTTCCATTTTGAAATAGCTGCAGTGCAGTGAGCAATATTACATACAGTTCTCTATTATAACTGTAATGACTCAGTGTTCTACAGAGCAGAGTATTCATTTCAGTACTCTGTATAATAGATAACATGAGTATGTATCAAATGAATCATCAACAAGTCTCTGCAGTCTTTTGTATACACATAGTAGTGCTGACTCTTGTGAACAACTCACTGACTTTTTTTGTGCTCAAATCAATAAGCAAAGGGAAATTAAAGAAAGTGAATCTGTTTTATATAAATAAAATGAAGAAAAATACATCTACCCCTTTTTTAAAAAGTAATATTGAAATAGTGAGTAAATTATTGATCTCTCAAGATTAGAAATTGATCGATTGAGAAGAAAATTAAAAAATCTGAAAAAATCAAAAATCAAAAAATCAAATTGTAATTAATTTAAAATATAAAATCTGATGAAAACTAAAATCTGTTCACTTCTCATCTGCATGAATAATTTTTCAGACATACTAAAATACAGATTCACATTCAAGTCAATTCTCATATCTTGATTCTATAGTTTGTTAGTAGATATTTCTTAGCTAATTTGATTCTTAAATATGACTTTTTGAAGAAAAGCACAGCTTGCTATTATATCAGCTTTCAGTCAGCAAATAGAAGAGCAGAGTAAGTTACTCTGCAGCTGATCTACTTCAGAGACGTAGATTAACTCCTCTCTTATTAATTGATATCTTTTTCGAATGATTGTTTGCCTGTAGTTATCTGTCAAACAACCACCCTTGAGAACTTTTGAATGAGAGTAAGCCACCGAGGTTCAGTGCTGATATCTCTTTCTTCATGAAATGCTCAGTTTGAATCTAACATACAGCTTTCAACTCAATAAGGCAGTTAAAAGTTCCCATTCGAACCTATTCATGAATATTCACTATAGATATCCCGCTCTGAAACGCTCAAAATACGGACTCGCAGCAAGTCACTTCTTGCTTCCGCACACTCTCCCGCTCCCGTCTGGAATCCCGAATTTCAAACCCCTATCACCTCCAATTTTATTACCCGGGATGCAAGGGGCGCATGTATGTTAGATGTACATGTACACCCTTCCAGTCGGTATCAGTTCCCGGTCTACCTCTGCAAATCTTGTGGGACGGCGGCTGATTAGAGTGCGCTTCTCGCCGTGTAATCTGGCACTGCCAAGAAGAACAAGGGTTGAGTGAAGAGGGAAGAAATAAAAAAGCGTGAAGAATATCCGGAGAGATTCATCCTGTGTGGGTTTTTGGTCACGGTAACGAGATCTGGGGGTCATTGACAACCTCCACCCTTTATTTCAATATTCTACCTTCTTGTAGTTTCATATTCTGCCCAAAAAAATACACTTATCGCAATGCCGATATGAATAGACCGGCTTACAACTGAGCCAGAAGACATCAGAGAGTTGTTCAATACTAATATTACTGTTGCCAAAACGATAGAGGTGCAAGTTCTTATTTTTGGTGAGTTAAAAATTCGAAATCAAAACCTTGCGTGTGCAAACATCTAGCTCTTCGATTAGTTAAAGATAAAGATGATGATTTTGCCGAGTAAATAATAATAACATGTTGAATGAACAAGGAAGCGGTGCCGAAGGGGGGTCAGTTTTGTTCCTCTTAAACAAAAGACCCCAGAATTTAGAGAGATATAGTTACGCAGAGAAGTTACATAGATATGTCATCTCCGGAGAAGCCCGCCCGAAAAATCCAATCTTAATAGAATAATCTCTAGTTAAGGGTTATTATAGAATCTTGAGGCTGCATGCCTCTCCCCCTGCGATCGGTTTTCTCATTTCCCCCTCTTTTTTTTTTTTTTTTTTCCCTCTCTGCTCTCTCTCGCTGTTGGTGTGATGCGACTGAACGAATGAAGGGTGTTAGGGTTTGGCAGCGGGATATTATTTTCCTGCCATAGTCATCAGTTCGGAGGAACTGTTTCTCTTCCCTCTGCAAGAGCATGTCACTGCAATGTGTTTCCAACTTCGGCCAACTTCGGGGGATGATGAACGAGGTTAAGCAGCCAAGTCAGTCATATGGTTGTCCTCGCCTTGCGGGAAAGGGGCTATAATAGGTTATCCATGAATCATTATTAGATACATACAACAAATTTCGTACCGAGTCCATTTTCTGAGGCCCCAGGGTCAAGAACATCTTTCCCGATGCATAATTTCCAACCCCAGTCAAACAGGAACCCAACCGTGCGCTTGGCAGTACCAGAAACCATGAATCCGGGGAGCAAGCTTTACGTATCCCCTGGCTTGTTTTGACGCATGCTTAAATAAATAATAATGATAATTCAACAATTTCTATGGAGCATTTAAAGAGACATGAATATATGTTACTATGCACTTGTAGCAGGTATAGTATACTGTTGAATAAAAATACCTTAATGCACACAAGTATGTCTGCAAAGACATTACAAAGCAAAGCTCAAAATGAAAAACTCTGCAAAATTGATTTTATAGTTTATTATTAATAATAATAGAGATTCATTTTTCAATATAAAAGTACTAGCTAACTAAATAGAAGAAGAAAAAAAAAGAAATAACTTCTTATTAATTTATATCTTAATTTTTAAAAATAGTTGAAATAATTTAAAAAAGATTTATAATAATTCTGAATTTAATTTTCAGTTATTTTCTCTTTATATAGAGCTTTATTTTCAATATAAAAGTTAAAATTTTAATATTACAACTATTAACTGATTTTATATTTATTATATTTTTTGAAAATTATAATTCTTTAAGTAACTGTAAAAATAGTAGAATATTATAAAGAAATAAATTAAAAGATTAATATTATATTCAGACTTCTAATATATTATTTATTCTTAAAAAATTTCAGTATTATAATCTCAGTATTATAATTATATATAGAAATTGAATTTAGAAAATTAAAAAATGTAAATTAATTAACAGTAAAATAATTATATAATTAATATTATTAAGTATTTATATTATAATTATTTATAACTCAGAAATAATTTCTTTATATAATTTGAAAGAATGTACAATCACTGAATAATAATACAGTCACTTCCGAACATACTTATAAATGTAAGAAGATTATAGCAGTCACTAATTAATTTAGTATAATATATATAAGAAGCTGATATATATCTGTAATTATACACTGACTTAAGCAATATTTAAATAACATCTGATAGTATGTTTAAAAACTGATAAGAAGTACAGACTTCTTCAGAGTGTGATAATTCTATCTATAAAGTAATTTATAGTTATTATATCAGAGTGATTCTAAAATGCTTTAAAAGATAGTATATAAAGAGTAGTAAGTGAAAGAGTATTTAATTAATACTACTCTGCTTATTAAGAGAAAACTTCACACTCAGATGAATATCATGTATATAAATAGATAAGATATGAGAAAGAAGATAAGAGTAGTAAATTAGATTTAAAGAAGTCTACTCTCTACTTAAAAGAATAAAAAGAGATAGTTATTATTAAAATCATATAATAATAATAGAAATCAGAAATCAGAAATCATATAATAATATAATAATAAACACTGTATAATCAATGAAAAATCACTGAAATAAACATCTTCTCTAGTTAATATAAATAATATTCTTCTTTGCTATCTTGTAAGAGACCTACGCTGAATAGATTGATATTATATTGATAGATCTTATTTAACAAAGATAAAAACATTAAAGAAGAAAAGAAAGAGAAAGTGCAAGAATCAGTGATCAAGATGAATATTTATACATGTATATAATGATGTACGCGGTGAAGCTTCAGAGCAGAAGAATATATACATGTTTATAACAGCTGAGAATCAGTAATCAGAAATGACTGAGAATCAGTGATTAAAAATAAAAGAATCTATGAAGTGTAATAAAATAGTCTATATAATTAATTAGGCATAGCTTACTATATTAGTCTCTCTCTTTCAGAAGCAGTTCTTATCAGTCAAGAGCTACTGTTTCAGATAACACAGAACTCAGAGTTCAGATCAGTTGATTATAGTTAATTCATTTTATAAGATATTATCAGTTACAGCTGTAAAATCTCTCATTGAGAATATTCTCAATCTCTCACTCAAGCTTATTATCTTCTTCTATAATATCTGGTGATTGTCAGTTAGAAGTCAGCTGAGAAGAGAATAGATCAGTGATAGCACAGTAAAGCAAGCTTGTATAAAATATATTATAAATTTCTGATAATGTATTAAGACAGTAGTTGTGATTATCTAGAACTTTTATCACTTTATATCTAATATAATGATAATCTAGTATACAAGATAAACATGTGATTCATATATTCTTAAGATTCAATTATATCAGATCTTCTATCTTATATTATTCAGCAGAGTCTTGATAAACATTAATTTAATTCTCTTAATCTTGTTTCATAGTTATTATGAAGATCTCTGCTCAATCACAGATATCTCAGAGCTTTATTACTATATTATCAGCAATCTGAATCAGACTGTAAAGATTCAGTATAAACTGTGTAATCTCTAGAAAATTCAACACTTTCATATAATAACTGTGTATAAGAAAGAATAAGCTTATATCTGTTAAAATAATATCTTAATTATTAATAGCAATCTCTGTGTGAAGAAGAAGATTATATTAATCATCTTATAAGTAATTACAGAACTTATAAAGATAATTCTTTATAGTCTGAATTATCTGTTCTAATACATTATCAGTCTCAGAGTGATAGACAGTTAAC